GATCCTGGTCACCGATCCGGTTTTTAAACCATTGGTTTATAGCAATGTTGGGGCTGTGGGAGTGAAAAACATTTGGAGAAGGGTGCGCAAGTCAACACATAAGAAGTGCTCTTTAAAAGGTGCTAAAATGCGTAAACCTCAAGATATTAAACAAGGGATTATATATGAAGTTATTTATTTGAAATACAAAGACAAGGGATTATATACGAAATTATTTATTTGAAATACAAAGACGCCACAATCACTTTTAACCATTAAGGAGAAATCTAATCGATGAATGTGTTTCACGACATTTGAAAAATTTTGTTTTGCACTTTGTACCAGTGACACATTCTCAACCACCCCATTTCAAATCTAACTGTCAATGACAATTGTGACTTTATACCAAAAATAAGTAATCTCATTGTAAATATTTTTATTAAATAAAACAATACATAAAAACCATTTACTTTTAATGCAAAAAAGTCACAGTATCCTTCAAGTCAAAATATCCTTTCACTAGACGTGAAATTGACCAATCAAGGGTTATGCTATCGAGAACTAGTAAAATTTTAGTAACCAATTTTTTCAACTTCGTACTTGATTTCAAATGTCACTTTGTAACAAAAATAAATAGTATTATGGCAACATGATCCCTTATTTTCCAGTCCTTTTTTTCCAATGTCTTTCTTCTTTCCGTGTAAACTCAAGCAGCGCAACTGATTTTAATGGTGATCCCCTATGGAGTAAGTTGTAACACAGAACCGACATTCCTTTGCATGGGCCTCACATAATTTTCTCAAGAGTCCAAACCAAATTGAATTTGCATGATGTTAGCCTTGTTCGTGCTCATACAATATACCCCTTGTCTAGGATAAGTTACAAATGCAACTAGGGCTTAAGACCTTCTCCACCTTTTATTCCAAAACTTTTGAAAGCACTTGGCATGTTATGAAGAACCCTAGCCAAATAAAACCTACAAGGCCCAACTCAGAATTATTTCACCCTCCCTTTTACTTGACACTCGGCCCTGCGAACATCTCAGTGCTTTGCATTGATCAGGTTCCTTATGACATAGGGTAGAATTCCACCATGGTCAAAGTATGCAAGTTCCACCTGCAACAACAGTGAGAAATCAAACCATGATTACAAACTCAAAATAGGACAGGATCCCTGACCTATTCCATAGAAAGTATCGCATACACGACATGTATTCTATACAAAACATGTGAGTGTCCACCATCTGTCCATCTCGATAATGGACAGAGAATGCCCCCACTTGTGGAGTACAGCATACACATGCTTGTCCTGCACTTTCCCTGATCTACAGAGAGACTAAAAGGTGTGTTGTTCTACCTCTGTGTCGAACCGTGCAGTGCAGGTGAATGACTTGCCACTATCAGTAACTACTGTTACATCTTGTCCTGGCCGTATCTCAGAAACAGTGCTAGGCAGATCAATTGTGTATCGTTCATGGCCAGTAAGCCCAAGAGTATCTGCATCTTCACCAGCTTTGAAACATAATGGAATGATACCCATGCCCACCAAATTGCTACGATGGATTCGTTCGAAGCTCTTAGATATGACAGCTTTCACCCCCTGCATTCGATCAAATCGTGTCATTTTAATCAACTGATTAAACCAGCATAGCAAAAACATAAGAGTGGGGTTTCCTTCTTGCCATTTGATATTTCCTAATTTTGGCATGTGGAATTTCAAGTACATCTCTAAGTTCACTAGTTTTACTCATCCCAAATTTTATTTGGAAAGTTTTGTCGAACCAGACCTGATAGATCAACTATTTAACATTCACCCATCAAACAATTTCCAACAAGTTATGACCCATGATGATGTGCTGACACCTGAAGCCATCTAACACTCCACCCATCCAACAATTTTCAAAAATATATGACCCATGATTATGCATCCTTTAATGAGTTATTTGAAATTTGATCAAATGAATGATAGGCTATTTGAAATTAGATCAAAAGAACTGAGTGAGATGTTAAATATTTCCAACTCCTAGGTGAAATTTGATAAATTTCCCTTTTCATTTTTAGTGATGTTTGAATTTTTTGAGAAGGACAAAAAAAAAGAGAAGAAAAAGAAAAAGCTGAAGGGTCATACAGTGAGATGAAATTAAACTACAAGTTCGATATTGACAATGAACCAAACATAGCAAGTGACATGGTTGAAGTTGAATCAAATAACAAAAAATGATGCAACATACCAATAACATTGGACCCTTCGCAGCCCAGTCACGAGAGCTTCCACTGCCATATTCTGCCCCAGCCAAGATGATGGTGTCCTGGCCCTGGGTGTTGTATCTCTGGAAAAAAAAGAACCGTCCAAATTATATGGGAGTCAATCGAAGATCAGCTGGCAATTCTAATACAATAAATCACGCAACATAGTACACTGATGTTTGTTATCTTTCTGTCCATCAATCCATCCATCTCTATGCTGCGTGTGTGTGCGTGCATGCATACACGCACACGCAAAGAGAGAGAGAGAGAGAGAGAGACTATGTATGAAATGGATTCTTCTGTCTTTTTAAGAATTATAAGAATCTGATACACGAGTGCATTGACTTCCCTTGTAAATTACCACAATACAAAGTGTGATTGTGCTCAGAAAGAGTGAAACGGATGATGATTTCCCGATTCCTCTAAACACAATAGAAACATAAATGAGAATTCTATTTGATAAACTATTATAATCACTGATTTAGGGCATAACCTACACAATAAAGATAGAATTACAATGAAGGAAGGGAATCCCAATGCAGAACTTCAGTGTTACAAAGTAACTTGGGAGCATAATTGGAACCCTAGACCTAACCTGGCCAGTTCACTGTAGTGAAACAGCTGGGTTTGGTTGGACTGGGCCAAGTTACGAAGCCCTGACCAAGTTGGCCAGGACTTACTGAGTTCGACTGTTTTCTCTTTTTTGTTTACTTTTTTTTTTTGGCAGAGAAAAATGGTGTTTTAAGAGAAATATTTGGGCCTAGGGGGGTACCAAGCCCCCAAATTTCAGGCCAAGGACCATTTTTCAGTATCCATCAGATCCGTAAGCTTGTTTTTATGATCGATGGATTTTTGTGGATTTGAAAGGATTTGATTTTCCAATGTTGAGTTAGAAAAGCCTCAGAGCTCATCGATTCAAGTGTAACCCAAAAACCTATTGGAGCATGAATTTGAAGACTCTTGGGTTGATCTAAAATGAGTAATTGCTTTCAATGGCACTCTAGCAGATACAATTCTTAGTAAGTTTAGAAACAATCCTTAGTATCTAAACTTACTAAATTTCCATCAAAACATGACATTTTTATGATTTCCTAATATTACATGTTTTTTGTGATGTTTCTAAAAATTTGAACCTTTTGTTGAAACTGTTTTTGGCAGACGCGATCGGACTCGCCGAGCTGACTCAACATGGCCATGTGCAAGTCCGAAGCTTTTCTGGCTTTAAATAAACTGCACAAATCCATTCTAGTGGGGCAGCCTAATTGTTTCATTCCAGCGAAGTATGTGTATAGAATCCCTTTAAACAGCTCAAAAAGAGGCTGTGAAGATCCCGAACCTACAAAGGAAAGCAAGCTCTAGCCTCCATTTGTGTGAATCCAAAATATCAAAAGAACCCACAAATATGAGCTCGTGCCTTGCAAGAAACCCCACTGCAAATGGAGCATGATTGCATAAAACTTCCATGAAAAGTTGTGCTATCATTTCCATACTTCTCCAGGACAAAGTCAGGCACCTTTAGTGCCCAAAATAGTCTTCCATTCCCTCACAGGTCCTGTAATCTAACTCCTCTAAGCTCCTCATGATTAGCACTATTAAGATTAGGTTGACAATGATAAGCACTCACACTTATTCACAGCCCCTAACTTTTCTCCTCTAAAAATTTGCTTATTGTGCTCCCTCCAAATCCCCAAGCGATAGCATACAAGAAGCATCACCTGACAAAGAGAACCCTCCTAGTCTTTGAGAGAAGAAACCAGAACTCAAGAATGGAACTGCAGAAGTGGCCCATGGGATGCCAAAGTGATAATAAGGAGCAAGGTTTAAAAAATCGGATCGATGACTCGAATCGGCCTCACCCATACTCGTGTCGGATCGGTTCAGAGAATCGGCCGAATCGGCAATTTTTGTCCCAAAAAATTTTCAAACTATAAATCTCTAAAAATAGTGTTCTTTTAGTTTCTAAAAGAAATTAGGAGTGGTGTATTATGTATTTTCATTACTTTGAAAAATAGGTGAATACAGAGACGTTGTTTTCCTGTTTAGATGTCTCTATAATTATTAGTTATTTATTAGTTATAATATAGTATTTTAATATTACATCAAAATAATTTAAAAATATTAGAAAAAACTTCCATATTTAAAAATTAAAAAAAAATAATTTATCATAAGAACTTCTATATGGATAATTTTTAGAGAAAAAATATCTTACAAAATCCTCATAGAGAATACGTCACGTAGAAAGAAGGTGCTCTTTCAAATCCTTCATGTTGGAAAATCTTATGGTTTGCAAACAAAACATCTCAGTATCCTTGTAAGCTTCTATAGAAAAGAAGGAAATATGAAGCACGCCTTCCCAGTCTTCAACTTTCTAAACTAGTGGCATTGAGATAAAAAATAGTGACAATATGGAACTCGCTTCCCTTTATGGCCCAACTTAGGTGACGACTTAACAGTCCCTTGCCATGCCACATACATACGTAATGACTTAACATTGAAAACAAAAAAACTGCGGGAGAGATGAGAGCAAAAATAGTCCCACATCGGGATTTTTTGTAAAGAATTGACCATATATATTTTTGGAAGGAAGCCATTGAAGCATGACGTGCGTTGCAATGGGGGGCTGCCCGACATGTGGCAGGGTATGTCCTGTGAATTCAAGGTGTTATAGAAATTTTAAATTTTTAGAGTGCTGTCAATTGTACTATTAAAAAATTAAGATAAGATATTTCAAATAAGCAATAAAAATACTATTTAACAAATAAAAAAACAGGAAAAAGTTAAACAAAAACATAGAAAATAATTTTTAAAATTAATATTAAAAAGAAAACAGTGACGTTTGCTTACATCATAGCCGATTCAATGACATCATATAGCTTGTTCGGCCTGTTCAATGACATCACAACCAGTTCTATCAGAGAACTGTGTGGAACCGGGCAGATCCTGTTTTTTAAACAGATCCAGAACGCCTCTACCGATACCCGATCCGGATTGCTCGAATCCGGATCGGGTCACTGATTTTTTAAACCTTGTTAAGGAGAAAAGCCTGAATCCCACATGATTTAAATGGGAAACTTGGAAAGTCTCTTGTCGATGGTTGGTGAGCAGATCATGTCTCCTAATCCCAAGACCCCCAAAATCACCCTCTTTAAGTTGATACCACCTTATGATATGGGCTTCGTAGAATGTGCCACCAAAAACATCATGAACAATCCTTATTTTCAGACACATATCTGTTCCACTAGTAGAACATCCCCCTAAAATTACCAACAGATACCAGCTCCAGGACCTCCTCCCGACGAATGCTATTGGTCTATCACTCCAAAAACCGGGCATTTCACTGCAATTGAAATAATCATTGACCGCCAGCATCCAACCCATCTAATCAAAAGCATGGGTCCCAAAATCATATACAATATGCTATCCTCCCTTTGGCATACATTTCTCCCCCATCTTACCAGTTGCCTTTTAGCCCTCCATGCCTCCAAGAATGCTACAAAGACACATCAAGATAGTTGCCCCCTTTTCTTACCAGCAAATAAAATAAATCTTTTAGACAAAAGTGCTCGACAGACTCACATTAATAAGAGCAATATGCCCATGTTCATCATAAGGAACTGAAATCTCCTCTCAAACTTCATGATCACTAGGAATCACGGCGACTCCCGAGGGTTTAAAGACAGAAAAAGGATAGAACGCAGTTATATGAAAACGAACTCTACCTCCACTTCCATGTATAAGCATTTGTGAAGATACATCCCCACCCCCCATCATAAAAGTTTTCCCTATTTTTGGCTCTACATTCTATCATCTAAGGATAAGCCTCAATTTTTCTAGCAAGTTAGTTACAATACCTCTCTTGTTTATAAGGTAAAATAGATATGCCATTTTATGTTAGGATTCTTAGCATTTTTCCAGAGTTTCTTCAGGTCAGAAGTATCAGAAAAGACCCCGCTGCTTTCATCACCAAAAATAAATGAAGAAACAATAAAAAGAATCACGTGGCATCTGAAAGACAGTTTATTATTTGGGAAAAATATGGAATACAGATTGATCAATTCAACTTCAAGATTGAATAGGCCCTAACTAATCATTCATGTTTTGCAAGATTAGCATAAAGGAGAAGAAAAGTAGTTCTTGAAATATTACCATTGCAGCATCAAACACAGACAGCTTCTCCCCTGTGGGTATGTGGATTGTTTTAGGGCCAACTTCTCCATTCAAGAGCTTATTCACAAGGCGAATATTGGCAAAGGTGCCTCTAGCCATCACCTCATCATTGCCACGTCGGCTCCCATAAGAGTTGAAGTCCCTTCTATCAACACCACGTTCCATGAGATACTTGGCAGCTGGACTGTCTTTGTGGATGCTTCCAGCTGGAGAGATGTGATCAGTGGTTATACTATCACCAAAGTTAAGTAAACAGTATGCATCTTTAACACCATGTGGACCAGGTGGCGACATGGTCATGTCCTTGAAATAAGGGGGCTCATGTATGTAGGTTGAGGATGGGTCCCATTTGTAGAGGTTGCTGGTAGGAACAGATAGCTCATTCCACATGGGGTTTCCTTTGGTGATTGCTTCATATGTAGCCTTGAACATGTCTGGTAGCACACTGGACTGCACAACCTGAGGAGTTCCAAATAATGAAAAATATTAGTAAATTACAAAAGGGTGAGTGGTTTACATAAGGTTGCAACCTTAAACAATTAAAGTAAGGCACACCTCCAAATTTCATCATAAGATGTAGTTTTGGTGTCAAAAATTCCTAGGATAGCCTGAGAATCTATTTTGATCTCTAATTATAAAACTCTAAACCCCAAAAATGGTTCAAATCAAGTAGATCTATTAGCATATGAAAATCTTGAAAATAGAAGGTCCCAATAATGTGTTGCAAGATGCACTATTTTTGGGACTCGAGATCTTTTTTCTTTTTTATTTCCATACATCTTGATGTCAAGATGATCAATTAGAGAGTTTTTCCAGCATCTAAATAGCGTTTTCCGATGGATTTTTGAGGTGCGATAATTCTACATTTTAAGGTTGCAACCGTATGTAATCTTTTTTCATTACAAAAACATAAAAAGGAGAAAAGTAAAAGGCCACACAGATGTTTCTAAAACAACAATTTTCAATTGCTCAAGTGACCAGCTAGGATAATAGAAGAGCAACAGATTACCTCTGCTATTTCTTCATTGGAAGGCCAGATATCCCTGAGGAATACCTTCTTCCCATCCTTTCCAGTTCCAATTGCCTGTGTCTCAAAATCAATGTCAACCTGCAGGGTATTATAGTAAGAAATTAGAATCGGACAAATGGCAGCATTTATCAAAGGGGAGAAAACTTCATCTCGTTCCACAAAAGTATGGACATCAAACAATAGCAAGCCTGAGCATTTGGTTAGGCTGTTATGTGGAATCTTATATATTGCCTGTAAACTAATTTTCTAATTCTATGAGTGGCACTATAAACTAATTTCTGTAAGAAGGTAAAACTACGGGTAACATTCTTATCAAAACAGTAGGCTAAGTAGAACCGGTCGGATTTTTCTTTTTTGAGAAATAAAAAAATGATTGATCAGTCAAAACTCAAAAGAAATATTCGATTCAGTTTCTAAGAAATCTATATAAGAAAAAGAAAAGAATAATGCAAGCAAGCTGCAGTGTGCATCACAAAAAGTTTCAGCATTTCTCTTATGCTTTTAAAATATCTTTCATATTTTGATTTCTTTTGAAGTTTAATGGTAAGTAGGTTCTTTAGTGATCTAGCAGAATGGAAAGATAATGGATGGCAAGTATAGATATCTGGAGGAGGTGCAAAGGTTAGTGCCAGTCTGTAGTCCAACTTTGGGAAGACTTGTATGAGAATAGTAATTTTAGGGGGCCAGAAGGTAGAGGAGCCACAGGACCTGGAGAGTATGCGAATATACATATTGTTTGTATCCAGTCTAGGAAAGAGCAAATAAATGAAGAACATGATTTGTTCAATGTGTTCCATTTGAGACCCTTCTATTATGCCCTTCGTGGATCTAAAAACAGTTCCTCACTGGGTCATCGAGTATGGAATGTCCCAGTCCTTTCTAAAAATCTTGTGTCATCAATGGTTAGTTAAGATAGAGTGACAGACAAGACAATCTAAGGGAACCATTTTAATCACCAGGGCATCAGATTTTCAAATTTCTTCTTGCTGGCAAGTTCAAGGAATGCATCATTAAAACATCTATTGACGACAATAGGGAAATTACTCTTAAGGACATTTTGGGGTTCACTAAGTACGCTTAAGGAGTCCAGAAGTCCATGATTTGGGTGTTCTCCATCAGGCGTAGGGTGTGCTTTGAAATCACTATTCCATAGGCGCTGCGTAAGTAGAAAGAGATAACATTATATTCAAGGAAAAAAATGACAAGGTGATACATGACTTCTTGGGCAATGATCAAAAAGGAATTTATAGGTTTAGAATCCAAACACTCCCAAGTTAACAAGTACTCCGAAAACCACATGGTTCAGGCAGCAATTCATCTGAAGCATACGAATTGCAGTAGATAAAATCTCTATCATTCAAATATAACATGTTATCCTGCAAACTAAGCCTTTACAATCATAATGGAGTAGGCATTTTTCACAAACCCACTTGACTTATGCGTAAAAACCTGAAGCCAGGGGAATCTAATGTTCTTTTTCCAATCTAAAACTTCTGGCAAGTACAAGTCAAGAACTTGCATTACAGATTCATGTATTTCCGTGCCAAGAAATCAAGATCTTAACATGATGAAACTGCAAACTTATTTATCTATTATTTTCCATGCATTATTAATGTCTCAAACAATTAACAGTTTCCATGAACCTTCTCAGGGGATTACCACTGTTTGCAAAACTGGCCGATCTAATCGCTAACCGGTCCGTTATATCGGAACCGGCCAGCGGCCGGTTCCTGTTTTGGGCGGTTTTGGTGATCAACCGATATTTTAAACTTTAAATAAAATACTACTTCAAATTTATATCAAATACATTAGAATGTTTTATTGGTTAGCTTTGATGATTAAGTTTTATATGAATCATGGTTCGAATCCTGCTGCCAACGTGTTTTCTTTTAAGAATTCATTTCGTTGGTTCAAAAAATTACCTGCCCATTGGAATCGAACTAGAATCCTCTCATAAAGAAGTCCTTTATTATCAGACCCACTAACCAATGCACCATTTACTACTTAGATACGCCATTTACTACTTAGTTAATAAAAAAAAAACGCCTATATTATATATAACTTAATTTTTTCTTCATTTTCTTTTAAAAAAAGAGTTGGTCAAGTCGATTTTTTTAACACTATTTTAATATTCTTTACATATATGGTAAAAATTAAAAAAAAAATTGGTCATTGATAATAACTTTTTTATTTTCCCATCTTTTTCAAAAAAATTGAAAAATACCCCTAGGCACAAATCGATCCGTTAAAATCCATTTTTTTCATTAATTTTCAACTTCATTTGAGTGTGTTTTGTTTTAATCACATTCTTTATATGCTTTTCATATTTTACTATATTTTTTTTGTATCTTTTTATTGTTTTCAACACTTTTTTTATCGTTCGGAACTTGTCCGGTTAGAGAGATTGAATCGGCCGGTTTATCGGTTAGGCCGGTTAAATCGCTTTCGGGCCCATGTCCGGTTAACCGTTCCAATTTGATTTTGCAAACACTGGGATTAACTTACAACTGTGTTCTGGTAAGATCTACACCTTTAATGCCACCAGTAAGTAAATTCTATATTTGCCTCCAATAAAAGTGGATTACTCACTAAGCCACTAACTGTGACTAGCTGTGCAAGAAGAGAGACAGTAGACCTGTGACGTAGGTTATTTTCCTTTCTCATGTCCTCTGGGACACCAATTAGTCTGATTCCTTTCGCTAGTGGGGAGCTTAGAAATGCTGCCCCACTTCCTTCAGTACGTTATCTACATGTAGATGTGTAGTCATCCATTAGGATGTTCTTCGTACTTTCACCCTATGCTATGTGTATGTAGTCTACTATTCCTGACATTATTATGATGTGCCTCTTAGATGACACATGCCGTAAAAGAACAACTTCACCTTTGGGCACACAAGGCACAATCATTCATTAATCCTTTCACTGGTTTCTGTACACATTTGGGTACACATGTCACAAGCATTAATGAAATTGACTGATCCTTTACTGATTTCTGCAGCTGCATGAGTTTGTGAATACACCAAGGCAATATACAGAGACAGGTCAAGAACATGTTACATGTAATTTATAGTTTTTTTTACTTGGACATAATTCACTACCAATTTCAATCAATTCCATACGCATAAATGTGATTCACATTTTTGCACCCACACTTGCTAAATAAGAATTTCAGATTCCATTATTCTTACATACCGTGCCAGCAAGAGCATAGGCGACCACAAGAGGAGGAGAAGCAAGATAATTTGCTCGAGTAAGAGGATGAACACGGCCCTCAAAGTTTCTATTACCAGATAATACAGCTGCAGCAACTATGTCTGAAAGGGTGTAAATAAAAAAGGCCATAAATACAGAAAATTCCAAACATCTATTTAAGAAAATAATCACAAACATAGGGTATCAGGATTAGAATGCTTGTTACCATTGTCAGAAATGACTGAAGCAACAGTCTCATCGATATCTCCAGAGTTTCCAATACAAGTAGTGCATCCATACCCAACAATATGAAAACCTTGTTGATTTAGATACTTTTGTAGACCACTACAATGGCAAAGTTTGATCCAAGTTTAGATTACTCAACCCAAATAAAATAAGGAAAAGTGTACAATGAGACCATTTATCTTTGGTAGAAGGTGGTCACAATTAATCTTGACCATTAGATGGGAAATTAGATGGCTGCATTTATTCCATTGACCAAGCTCAAACTTTAAAAGAAATTTTCTCAAACTTCATGACACACCCAAGCTATCAGATTTCACATCGGATAGTTGTACGTAATTGTGACCTCCTTGTGTCAAAGGTAAATGGTCTCATTATATACAATCCTATTATGTAAACCTAAACTAATTGAAATATATATTTAAATGTGTGCATCCATATATTTATTAATTTATGTATTGATATCATGTTGCACTTGCCTAGTTGCTTTACCTTTTCTGCAAGTACTTAGTAACGACTCCGGAACCTGGAGCAAGACTGGTCTTAATCCACGGCTTCACCTGAAATAGGAGAAGAAAATCTTTTTGCAATTCAAAGAAAGAATGGAGAGTATCATTTGATCAAAAGCTTCAGAGAGGCATTTCTCTCACCTCAAGACCTAGTTCGCAAGCCTTCTTTGCAACTAGTGCAGCTCCAAGCATTACACTAGGGTTTGAGGTATTTGTGCAACTGGTAATCGCAGCAATAACGACATCTCCATGCTTGAGTTGTGCTGGAGCTCCATGGAAAGAAAACTCCACCACCTTATTTTGAGATTCTTTTGGCACCGCGAATCCCTATCCAATCATGCAGCTAAGAAACTGAATAACACTGTCGCTCTTCACAAACCTATGTGCCTAACTTTGTTCTAAAACAGCAATCAGCGGGAATTAAACAATATAAGATAGAACAGTGTTTGCAAAATCAAACCGGAACGGTTAACCGGACATGGGCCCGGAAGCGGTTTAACCGGCCGATTCAACAGCCCTAACCGGGCAAGTCCCGGGCGGTCAAAAAGTGTTGAAAAAAATAAAAAAGATACAAAAAAAAATCTACTAAAATACGAAAAGCATATAAAGAATGATTAAAACAAAACACATTCAAATGAAGTTGAAAATTAATGAAAAACATGGATTTTAACGAATCAATTTGTGCCTAGGCGTATTTTTAAATTTTTTTGAAAAAGATGGGAGTATTAATGACCAAAACAATTTTTAATCTTTACCATAATGTAAAGAATATTAACAAATGCATTACAAATCAAATTCCTTATTTTTTGTAATTTATATATTTGTTTTTTGAATTTTTCTTCTAAATACCTGTTGATCACCAAAACCGCCCAAAACGGAGATCGGCCACTAGCCGGTTCCGATCTAACCGGGCGGTTAGCAGTTAGATCGCCCGGTTTTGCGAACACTAAGATGGAAATGATACCAGATGTGTGTGTCTATAGAGTCTATACATGTCTAGCAATGAGTTGTGACCAAAATCATCACACAACAGTGACATTCCCAACTTGCTGAGACACACATTTACATACAAAGCGAACATTTGGGAGCTGCACACCCCCGCGGGGGGGAGGGGGGGGGATGTAGTGATGATGCACAGGTATCCTCTATGGGAGCAGCAGATCCCTCCTAATTCTCGCGCATATTTGGAGGATGCGAACCCTAGGAGGGCTACCAAGTAGAATAAGAAGAGCAAGCTTGGGATCTTTTTCAGGGTTATTTTCAGTCATTTTTTTAATTGCTGGCCCAGTTGGGACATTTTAGTCATTTTCTTCATCGTTCGTGTCATTTATTTTATAAGTCACTTAAGTTAGGATGTATTGGTCAACTTATTATTTGTTTCAACACTTTTGTCCTTGTAATATTAACTAATATTATAATGAGGTGCATGGGGCCCAGGAGAAGGCAGTCACGTGATTTTCCAGAATTAAAGAAAGAAAAAGCTTAGGCTTTAGGAACCCCAGAGCTGATTTGGTATCAGAGCTCGAGTTTCTTTGACAGCACTAGGAAACTACAGCCTAGTTTAGGGCTTCCTGATTTTGGACCAAGTTTTGTTGAATTCAGCCTATATCTTGCTCATTTTGGCAAGTTTTTGTTGAATCTCCGCCTAGGGTTTGTGATTTTGATGAACCCATATGGCAGTGAGAAGGTGGTGTGGAAGGTGGTTTTCACATACCCATTTCGTGATCCCAGAGATGAAGAAATTAAGGACCTTAAATGGCAAATTCAACAGTAGATGCAGCAGTTCGAGAGTATCAATCATGGGCAATGCGGTGATCTTTCGACCCAAGAAGATCTCGAATACAACCTTTTTAATCACCATGCTCCACGTGAGGAATCGATCAATGAGGATAACGATAACAGGCCATCGCTTTAATAAGAAGTTTGTCCCACTTTGAAGGAAGTTATCGAAGACGATAGCAAGCTATCATTTGATAGAGACCTTGTGTATGATGAGGTACTTCAAGAAGATGAGTCTGAAGTGACATTTAGTGACCATGGGGAGGCTTTGGTGATCCAGCATAGCATGATTACACCCCGAGTAGTAGACAAGGAACTGGGAAGGGAATTTCTTCCCCAAATCCTTGATGATCAGTATGATTTCATGGGTAATCAAATTTTTGACAAGGAACCTTCTGATGGAGATGGTGATCTCATCCTTGATAATGATCCTATCTTTGATGAGGGTCTTATCTTTGATGATGATTTGATGGGTGCTACTATCTATGGAGAACAACAACATGAAGGCAAGGAGGATCACGGAGATGACAGTGGTGGTAAGGATTTTTTTTTGTCTTACCCGAATACGGGGTATCATGTGAGGTGTGTCCTGAGGGTTTGGTGATATTTTCCTATGAACTTTTTGCTACTGAGTACATTAAGGAAAGTGCCTATCGAGTGGTTGATTATGAGATTCCTGATAATGGGATTCAGCCTCAGCCATTGTTTTGTTTTGATTGGTAAACTATATCAAATCACTACGTACGAGCTAAAGGAAATTAAGGGGCAATGCAGCATTAATCTTGAGCCGCTTCAAAGTTAGTGCTAGAATATTCTCCGATATGTTTATGGCCAAGTACGTTGTGATTACATAAGTACAGTTCCCAATGGGCCCAAAATGCGGTTGATACTAGTTGGTGGGGGTGCAGTAGATCCAATTTCGGTCGGGGTGCAGTAAAGTGGAATGCCTTGATCTCGAGCCTCATTAATGTGGAAGATTGGGTGATGGTGTACCTCAAGAAGGAATGATATCCAATAGGTAAATACAATGCAAGGCAAGACAATTCAAGATTTTAGAGAAGATGGGCAGCAAGGCTTACAAGGTCACTTTGCCTTTGCATATGAAGACTTCGTACATATTTAACATTTATCCGAGTATCATCGGCCAGAGATGGACGAAGATGAAGGTTCCAACTTGAGGTCAAGTTCTCAACCTGGGGAGAATGATGATCCACAAAGTACTTCAAGTGGTCAGGGCAGCGAGTATCCTCCATGGAAGCGGCAGAATCCTCCTAATTCCCATTGCATATTTGGAGCATGTGAACCCTCCTAGGGCTACCAAGAAGAATAAGAAAAGCAACCATTGCTGGAGATTTTTTTAGTTATTTCAAGGTTATTTTCAGTCTTCTCTTTTAATTGATTGAATTGGGACTTCTTAGTCATTTTCTTTATAGTTAGTGTCATTTATTTCAAAGCCACTTAATATAGGATGTATTGGTCAATTTATTATTTGTTTCAAAACTTTTGTCCTTGGAACATTGAGTAAAATTATAATGAGGTGTCTGGGGCCTAGGATAAGGGACTCATGATTTTCCAGAGTTCAAGAAAGAAAAACTTAGGCTTTAGGAACCCTAAATTGGATGTGGAGAAGAAACCCTAGGTTTCTTCGAATTGTACAAGTGTTACGTGTGTTTTCTTGCTGATTTTACTGTTTCCATCAATTTTCCTGCATCAATGAGAGAAAGAGAGAGAGAGGGAGAGAGAGAGAGAGAGCTGTTTTATGTATTGCCTTTAAATAACTATTCAGTTAAGAAAAACCTGAGAAAGATCTAGCTTAACATGACTAGGTTACCTTGGGTAGCTTGCATGCACGACCATGGTATTCAAGTCTTTAAGTGAATATTAAAGTTTTGCTGAAGGCACTATGGTAGGGATGATTATAGGAGTGTTCCTAATCAATAATGTACAATTGGCTCCACAGGAACTAATAAACAGCATACGATATTGTTCGATCTACTTTCTACGTTACTCAACTTCAGGTCCCTCCAAAAACAAAGAAGCAAGTTCCAAACATCTCACCTTGAATCCAACCTTGTTGTCCAAGCAAGAATGCCAATCAGCTTTCATCTCTTTCAAGGGGACTCGATCATGAGGTCTGGCATAAGAACTTTAGATCATACCCCGAGAAAAGGCAGATATCTAAATTTGCAAAAAGAAAAAACAGAACGGATACACATTTCCATTTATTGGCCCGATTTCTCAAAAAACCATAAGGACATGACAAGTCGGTGAAAAGCCCAATTATTTATGTTTCAGAGGAAAGATGAAACTAACTGAATGGCACTGTTTCCAACAAGAACCAGAAAACCAACACTAGTATCAAGGAAGTTACAAACATAACCAGTCCTTTGAAAGAAGTTGGGGACCACGAGAGAGAGAGAGAGAGAGAGAGAGAGAGAGAGAGGAGGGGAGTGCACGTAGGCGTGGTGTGTAGAGAGAGAGAGAGAGAGAGAGAGAGAGAGAGAGGGAGGTAGTACGACGTACGTAGGTAGGTAGGTAGGTACGTTCTTACGTTCGTTCGGTCGGTACGTAACGTAACGTAACGTACGTACGTACTA